CCCCCCCCCCCCCCCCCCCCCCCCCCCCCCCCCCCCCCCCCAAGATGGTTTGGGTTTTTTTGGTTGGTTTGGTTTATAGTTTTTTTTGTTTGTTGGTTGGTTGTTTCTTTTTGGGGTGGGGGGGAAGATGCTGTTTTTTGGGGGCGGGGGTTTCTTTACGCTTCCTGAATTCTCCCCCCGCAATTCTCGCAGCCTTTATCCCTTTTCCCAAAAAAAGGGCCGAGCCTGGAAAAAGCGAGAGAGGAAAGGAGGGAGGAACGGAGCGGGGCCGTCTGCAGGCGGGGAGAGAGCTTAAATGGGGGGAACCCTGCTTAAACAGGGGAGAAAACACCGCTGTCATGGGGGAAAAGCCTTAGTTAAACGGAGTGAAAACTCTGCATACATGGAGGTAAAAACCCTGCTGGAATGGGAGAAAGCCTTAAAAAACAAACAAACAAACACAGAATAAATACGTTTTAACTAGGATCAAAAACAGTGCCCGATTGGAGTTGAAAGTCTTCGCGTAAATGGGGCAGCAGAGGAGGGCCGCAGCTCCTCCGACCCCTTTTTGCCACTTCGGACATCGCCTTTCCCGGCCAACCCCCCGAGTTCGCGCACGGAGGGGCAGCGCGGGCGCCCAGAACCCGGAACGGCCCGAACCCCGCAACTCAAATCCGTGCTTTTCTCCTTATGGCAGCTCGGAGCGGCCGGGGCACAAAACACGGAGCCGCCCAGGGAACTTTTTTGGGAGCTCCAGGGAGGCGGATTTACTTTTCCCGGAGTGTGGTGGAGAAACTCCGCCAAACTTTGGGACGGACCCGGACCCCCCCTCCCCGCGGGCCGCAGCGTCCGTGGCCCCCCCCCCCCCCCCAGCTCACTGTGCCCGCTCGGCCGGAGCGGAGGGTTCCGGCTGAAGGCTTTCGCTCCCCGGTGGCTCAATTAACGGGATTATTGTCTTCCTACAGAGAGGCATCAGCTCGCGGCCCGCGCAGCCCCGGCCCCACCAACCCCCACCGCCGGGAAATTTAACATAAACCCGCAAACACCCGCGGACGCCGATTTCTGCCACCTAATCCTTCGGGAGGGGGTGAGGGAGGGCACGGCGAGCACCAACACGGACTCTTTCTTCCTTTTTTTTTTTTTTTAATGATTATTTTGTTTTCTCTCTGTTCATTTTAAGCTTTTTCCCTCCCCCGTTTTCTGTTTTTTGGTTTCTTTTTTTAACGTATGTTTTTCCTCTCTGCTGTTTTCCTGGTTCTCGCTGATGTTTCGCAGAGTAAATCCCCTCCGGTGCGCGCAGCACCGGTACCGAACCGCGGCCCCCGACCTCTCGTTAGAGGCTAAAAAACGGCCCAAGCGGGGTCATCCCGCAGCATTTCGTTGTGAGGCTCCGGGAGGCCGAAGGCTCCGGGCCCGGAGACTTTTCTCTCTAAACATACGTTGCCTCAGCATCTTTATTTTGGGGTTGGGTTTGTTTGGGGATTTAAAAATGGTTTAAATAGAAATTAAAAAAAAAAAAAAAAAAAAAAAAAAAAAAAAAAAAAAGGAAAAGAAAAGAGATAAAAGGAAAGGGGAAAAAAATAATAAGGGAAAGGAAAAATTAAAAAATGTGGGAAATGTATTTAAATAAGGAAGAGAAAAAGCGACCTGCGGGGTTTGCTGCTCGCCGGGCGGAGCGGCGCAGTTGGGGCTCCGGCGGCCCAGGCAGCACCGCACCGCACCGCAACGCGAGGCCCCGCGGATTCGAATTGAGGGAACTGCGGGACAAACGCTGCGGGAATCCGCGCGGTGCCCGAACTCTCTGCTCCCGTTTTGCTACCGCGCTTTGCCGCTTTCTTCTGAGCGCGTTTCCAGTCCCTTCCTGCCCTGACTCGGCCTCTCTTCCTTCCTCTCGGCCCAGTGAAAGAAGAAGGGGACCGGGAGATTTCCAGTTCCCGGGACAGCCCCCCGGTGCGGCTGAAAAAGCCTCGCAAAGCCCGCACCGCCTTCACCGACCACCAGCTGGCCCAGCTGGAGCGCAGCTTCGAGAGGCAGAAATACCTGAGCGTGCAGGACAGGATGGAGTTGGCCGCCTCCCTCAACCTCACCGACACGCAGGTGAAAACGTGGTACCAGAACAGAAGGTAAAAACGCACCGCTCGTCCCCTCCCGCCTCACCGCGCCGGGCCCCGTCCTGCCCCTCTCCCGGCCCCGCAGCTCCGAGCGCAGCGGTTCTGCATCCCGCCCCGCCCCGCCCCGCAACCGGGGGGACGCGCACCCCCAGCCCCAGCCGGCGGAGAGCAGCGGGCTTCCAGCGAAACACAACAGCATAACACATCGGCCCATTAATAATAGATACCAATTACTGCTTTGGGCATCAATAATTAACACCCCTTACAGTAATTACACAATTATTATTATGATGAATAATTTACCGGGGGAAATAGGTTTAGCGCTTCAGCGACGAAACCGTAAAAGGGTTGAAGACATTTGACGGCTCCGACTGATTCACCCAGACGGCCCCGTCGGCGCTGTCCCCAAACCCGACGGAACGAGGGACACCGAGCCCCCCCCGCCCCCCCGCCCCCCCCACATTTTAACCCTCTCCCCCTCCGATTTCAGCCCCACTTCACGCTCTGCAATGCCCGGCGGCTTTGCCAACCCGTCGGGGCTTTTAGGCGGTGTGGGGACGGCGCGGTCTATGCGTAAATTTAAGAGATATATATGTACACGTACACACGCACCCACACATACAGATCGCAAACGAATGCACAGCACCGACACCGCGGTTCCTCCCGGCAGCGTCACTCCCGACCCCAGGGGCGGCCCGGGGCGCTCCGCGCTGATTTAGGAGAGCTGCGGTGCCGGTTCTGCGCATCGCCCCGCGGTTCGGTGCCGGCGGAGCTGCCCGGTGCGCGTCCCGCACGAGATGCACCCAACGCGGTGCGGGATTCGTTACCCGCGGGCTGCGCACCGGGAAAGGTGGACCGTATCGGTCGCGGTTTGGAACGCAGTGATTTGTATCGCGGCCGCTTTAGGGCTCCCGTGCCTCCGGGCTGCCCGGGGACAGCTAAATCCTCTCGTCCCGTTAATGAGGGCTACGTCCCTCCATCCCATCCCACCCCGGACGCCCGGGGATTCAGCAGCAAGGGAGCAGAGCCTGAGAGGAGGATACGCAAGGGCGAGGGGAAGAACAGGGAGCGTCCTTCAGAGCATCCCCATCCCTGACCCCCCTGTCTCGGCTTGTCCCCCCTCCAGGACCAAATGGAAAAGGCAGACGGCGGTGGGCCTGGAGCTGCTGGCCGAGGCTGGCAACTACTCAGCCCTGCAGAGGATGTTCCCCTCGCCCTACTTCTACCCGCAGAGTTTGGTCTCCAACCTGGACCCCGGCGCCGCCCTCTACCTGTACCGCGGACCCAGCGCTCCGCCCCCGGCCCTACAGAGACCTTTGGTGCCCCGCATCCTCATCCACGGACTGCAGGGCGGCAGCGAGCCTCCCCCGCCCCTACCCCCGCTGCCCGGCGTTCTGCCCCGGGCCGCGCAGCCCCGGTGAGCCCCGGCCCCGATCCCCGGGCGTGGGGGGGGGCCGGAGAGGGCCAGCCCAGCCCTGGGGCCTCGAGCAAGCGAAAGACTCCCGCTTCCCCCCTACATATAAATATATATATATATATAAACGAGACCCCCCCCCCCCCCACACACACACGCACACACCACCACCTTTTTTTAATATATGAAGTACGAAAGAACAGAAAAAGCCGCTCCCCCCCCCCCCCACCCCGCGGCTCCGGGACTGCGGCCGCTTTACTCCGTTGTGCCCTCGGGGGGCAGCGATGTGGGTCCCTCCCCAGCCCCCCGCCCAATCCGAGGCTGCACTGGGGGCACGGGGAGGGGCTGCCGGGGTGGAGGGGGGGTTGGAAAGCTTCTTTCCAAGCAATTGCCCGGCCCGACCCCCAGTACGGCCGGAGCCGGGGAAGCCCCTCCCCAGCCGTCCCGGCTCCGCTCCGGGATCAGGAAGAACCAGGGGGGTACCGAACCCCAACCTCCGCCGCAGCGACACTTTGGGAGCTCCGTAACCGGAACAAAAAAAAAATAATAATAAGGAAAAAAAGGGAAAAAAAAAAAAAAAAAGAGGGGGGAGGGGGGGAAGGAAAAAAACC